TATTGCAATTTGCCCTACATGGGGATACTCTTGAAGACCACTCAGAAGCTACAACTAGTCCAATGTGCAAGGCTCATATTGTTATTGGTGTGCATTGGCTGCCAGATGCTTTCTGGGTTCAATTCAAGGTGCTGGTTGTCACCTTTAAAGCCCTACATGGCTTAAGGCATGGGTATTTCTGAGGCTGCATGCTCTAAGTGGAATTTTCTTGTCTAGTGAGATCTGCTGGCAAGGAATGTCATCTTCACTGTTGAACTTTTCCAGTGATGCCCCCCCCCCCCCGGAATAATCTCTCTCCAGTATTCAAACTGTCCCTTCTCTATTAAGTTGTCAAAGAACCCTGAAAATGTGGCTCTTCTGGAGAGCAATTGGAAGGATACCTGAAGTGTAGGAACATTGGTAGGAGGTTGTAGAAGTAGTTATAGGTAATAGTTGTTTTTTGTTCCTGCTTATTACTATTTTTAACCTTACTCCTGTATCTGGAATTGGAGTGGCAAATAAAAAAGAATAAGTCAATAAATAAATACTGTTGTGCTCCTGTGGAATTCCTTGGTTTGGGCTTGTTGATTTAATATTTAATTGTATCATAGAGGGAGTTTACATCTTGAGTAAATTACAATATTTCTGGGATTTAGGGTACAAAATATGAAGTAGTCCTATCCATGTCATATCTGTTTAGGGGTATCTTTATGGAGATGACATAGGATTCTGCTTTGCCAGTTTATTCAGAAACCTAAGATAGATTCTAAGCAAACAGAAAATAGATCCTGTCTTCATCTATAAAAGGAGATATTCCCTTAACTAGTTAAGATATTCAGTTTATAGCAAAGCCCATACTGTTTGACCCACATAATTTGATCCAATTCCAATGAATAATCAATCATCATGTGCCAGTTCTTCCTTAGCCACATTTCTTCTATAAATAACTGTTCTAGTAGTCAGTAACTGCAGAATGATTTCTGGGTAAAAGAAATAATTAATGAATTAGAATTATATTTTCTATTCTGCTGTGATTATTCAATTTCTCTGAGAGTGTCTGCCCGTCTTACCAGATTGGATAAGGTAGGCCTGCTCCAAGTCCCTTCCCTGAAATGTTGCCATTGAGTGGGACCCCAGAAGCGTGCTTTTTCTGTGGCTGCCTCCACCTTATGGAATACCCTCCCCCTGACTATCTGGCAGGCCCCCACCCTTTTAGCCTTCCAGAAGGCCATCAAGACCTGGCTTTTTACCCAGGCGCTGGGGTAGAGTGAGGGTGTTTTGGGTTGGTTGTTGAGGCATTCCAAGGGAATGACTGAGGCTCAGGGTTTTGGTTGTGTTTTACAGTTTCATGGTTTTTATAGTTTGGGTTTTTTATTGTTCTGAGCCATCCAGAGTTGTGTTTTAAGATGGGCGGCCATACACATTTTTTAAATGAATAAAAATAAATTATTCACACCATTTAGTAAATGTAAAGATTATCTGAGAGATGTTTCTTATTCAAAAATTATCTAGAAATATTCCTGTATTGTTTTGCTTTTTTGCAGGGGGGGAAGGGGGAAAATAATGTATTTGAAGACATTCCAGTAGAGTAGCTATATTTCCAATGCTGATAGTTTCTAACAGGATCTATTCTATGTGCAAACTTTGCACTATATTCTGTACATCCGTTTTCTCTAAAACCACATACCAAGAGATGTCTAATAGTCTTAAAAATAGCATTTTTGTTCTGCATTTCCGCATCAATTTTATCATAGCACTTATTCTAAAAGAACGAATGATTGCTAATAGTAAGGTTTCTACACATTTGGAAACTCACAATTATTTTAGAAACATTGGATGACACATGTAATGATGAATAGTTTGTTCTCAGGATCCTGCTTACATTGCCAGATGCTTTCTTAGTGGGAGTTGGGGTAGCTATGGTTCCTGACCAGCTGGGATCATAATTTTCTAATTTCTTTGATGTTTCTAGTTTTACTGAGCAGATGTTTCTGTCCTTCATCTGAAGTATTTTAGAATTAGCAAAAAAAAAAAAGAGAGAGAGAGAGAGTTTTTTAAGAGTTCCTCCCCATAATCTAAGTGGGTGGGTAGATTTGGGAATAGTCTCTGTTGAGAAACAGTTGACCCAGCTGATTCCCATGTTATAGCAGAAATCAGTATACAGAACAAATATAAGCTATGCCTGCTACTAAGATTTTTTTTTTTTTAATCTGTTCAGTCGTGTCCAATTCTCGGAGACTGCCTGGACCAGTCCTTGCAGTTTTTTTGGCAAGATTTTGGAAATGGTTTGCCCTTGCCTGCTTCCTAGGGCTGAGAGAAAGTGACTGGCCCAAGGTGACCCAGCTGGCTTTGTGCCTAGGTTTCTAGACTGACACCTTAACCACTACACCAAACTGGCTCTCTTTACTATGATTACCAAGTTGTAATTTGGAGAATAGAGATTTGTCTCTTCTCAGTGCATCAGTAATGTGAAAAATGAGGTTGCCTCATTTGCTGCTCCTTTTTCCTTTATTTTATCTTCTCTTTCCCAGTCTCTTGTAACAAGTAAAATTCCAGTGCTTTATCTGCTGCAAACACCATCAAAAAGCCAAGAGAGAAATGGGAGAAGGAACATTTGACTTTTAAAAACTTACCCATATTTAGTGTCCAGACCTGGAATCTTACTTGTGAAAAATATTTTTCTTTATAAATTCATGGAAACTCTCCATCTTAAAGGAAATCAACCCTGATTGCTCATTGGAAGGATTGATAATGAAGCTCAAGC